AAGGAGGGTTCGAGCGGCGGGGTCTCGGTCGCAGGGGGGGGGGGGGGGGGCAGGCAGAGGAGCATGGTTGATCTGCTGCACAATGTTTGCAGTGTGCTTGCTGCCCTCTTTCCTCCACTAGATGAAGCTGTAATTCTAGAGAACGCTGGAAAGAATTAGCAGATAAATGTAACCATTGCTACTACAGGGATCTGTTACATTGAATGACTGCTCGCTTAGATGTTTTTAATTTCCATGAACCTTAGCTTCATCCAGTGGCCATAATTTGGTATTCCCTGATTCACTTCTGCCCATAATATTTCAAGAACATTTGACCAGAAGAGATAATATCCTGAAGACCATCTGATTTTGCCCCATTCTCACAACTGATTAATTTCTACAGAACAAATGGACATGCAGTTTTGCTGGACGAATAGCTATGCTATTTTTTGTTGTTTTATAAATAGACCCCTACAGGCTGGCTTACAAGCATGGTGAATCCACATAAAAATGTCCTGTTTTTTTGCATATTAATATATTTTTGTTAGTGTAGCGCTCACCCCTAAGGTGTTGCTGGAATAAACTGGTCTTCCATAGCCTGTCTAGGGATTTTATCATCTAGCTGCCCCCAATAGTATCTACCACCTTTCTCTGGTGACCAACAGGACTAAGATCCAGACTGTAGTTATAATGATGATGAACTTTAATGCAAAACTTCATACTTAGGAGAAAGGGCATAGGGCTTAGGACATCCAAGGCAAAAATAGGACAGAACAGAACTCCAGACTCGCCAGTCCCTTTCAGTATTCCACAGTACATAATCCATAGGAGCACATGCTGATACTGGGTTTTTGAGCAACAGCTGAAGAGGGATTAGCATGAGATCTTCAATAGGAGAGACACCAGACTTGCTTCTGAGGTCCATTCCAGTACCAGACACCTCCAGCAACAATCCGCTTCTCTGGTTCTCCTCAATCAGTATTAGGCCTCCTACAAGGCCTAGCAAATCATTTCCCACATTTGAGCATTCCTGCCCCAGGCCAAGCCCGGGGCAGGTTGGAACTCCAACCAAGACTGGGCTAAGACTGAGCACATGTCAATTCCCACATGTCTCTGAGTATACTGTATATACACTTCCCCAGCATACACCACTGACCATAAAACCAGCAGTGATTGGCTGGTGAGCCACGCACACTCATAATGCTCCCCATTGGCTGTCCCACACTGCAGCAGGGTCACACCCCACTCAGGTAGGTACAATCAATGTAAGAACACCTGGAATTAACCAGATAAATGGCAATTATAATTGCTGACTACAGCTCTGGCAACACTAAATTTCTAGTAGCCACTCCACAAAAGGTGGTAGGAGCTACATTAGCAATCAAGGGGTTACCTGGGCGTGGTCTGGGACTATAATCAGGTAAGCCAATTTTGTACACTGTGAAGTGTAAAGGTGGCCATACACTTTACAACCACCGCAAGACCTTAATCTTGCGATGGTTGTAAAGTACTTAAAAAAACGTACGATCTGCTCATCTTGGACAGGCAGATCGTACTTGCGATCTGCCTGTCCAAGATGGGCAGATCTCAATGGGGCGGGCTTGTGATGACTGCAATGAGGGGCGGGCTTGCAAGGACGGCAAACGGGCAATGTGCGCGTGCGCACACCGGCCCGTTCGTCAGTTGTCGAACAAGCAGGCCACTCACTCGCCGAGAATCGTACGATTCCCGGCGGGTTTTCCAGCCTGCTTGTTCGATGGAAGACGTGCGACCGTACAGTAGAAACGGTCGCACGCCTTCCATATACTGTACGATTCTCGTACGATCGCGGGATTTCCCGCGATTCTCGTACGAGAATCGTACAGTGTATGGGCACCTTTAGTGTAGGATTTATAAGGACCGTTGGCAATGGTGGTAAGCTTACATATTTTCGACAAAATACAAATAAGTACTTCATAATTTTGTGTGTTTGCAGAGCAAATGAAAAGATGAGTTGAAAATGCATACCAAACTGCATGCTAACATTTTCTCATTTTTGTGTTGTTATTCTTTGGTCTTAAAAAAATGCTTGTGAAAAAAAAAGAATTCATGTACTGAATTAGAGTATAGCTATTACCCACATACAGTTTCCAAAATACAATAATTTTTCTCTATAGTGGACATTTAAGTACTGCCTCAGGGATTAAAATGAAACAGCACAAATCTTACCCCCAATACCATCAAATGTGTCACCTTTGTACTGTTCATAGTACCACAAGCTGACAATCAAATTAATATGTTACTTGTGATAACGGCACACTTACATTTGTATCGGCAGTTTCTGTACAACTGTTTCTACAACATTCATTAATATGGATTGTCATTTCATGTAAAGACCAATAGTAATGTATTTACAGAATTGCTTTAAAATAATTACAGTCTGGGAAGGAATTGAGCATGTTTGGAAAATGATGGGTTTCAATAACAGGCTATTGTAATATTACAGATCTCTTAAATGGAAAGGAAAATTAAGTGGGTGTTGTCTCACAGCCATTACAAGGCATGAGGGCTGGATTTCAAAAAGCTAACATGTTTTGCAAACCACCCAACCTTAAAAAGGGGGGGATGAATAAAGCAGCCCATAATGAACAGACCCGGTCTCCCGTCCTTAAGTAGACTATTTACAATTTAGTATATCTTCCCATTCTTCTTGGTTAGATGCCGAAGTTGTTGAATGACAAATCAATAAGGGTCGTGGCATTCAGATATAATCAATTATTATTCCATCTCCGAGACCGCTCAATGGGCAGATTAAACTGCGAAGGAAAGGGAGGCTTGTTTCATGATTGATAGTGGTTTACATAAATAAACTGAAATAAAACTGAAATAAAATAAAAAAAAGTACCTGCTGGAATGTTTAACAATATATATTTTTTATTTCTGTAGCAGTGCTAGAGATAATAAAAAGGTGACTTTGTTTTTATTGAAGTGAACCAATCCTGTTCTAAAAGGTAAAAACAGTCCCTTGTAATGTGTGTTATTAGCTGTGTTAGTCTTCAGTCAGATTCTTTTGTTCCTAAGGAGCCCCATTGACCCTAAGCTTAGGCAGTACATAAGGCAATGACTTCTACCCAAGTTGAGATTAAGCTCCACCTCTAACCTGCAATAAGCTCCACCAACTGTCACTGCCAAATGCCAAAACCTCTACTGCTTATTAAAGTTCTGCCATTTGATAGTTGATTGGTTGGGAGTTGATTTTGTGCTAGTAAGGGGTGCTCTATATGTAAATTGATGATCCAGTATTCTTAAAGTGAAAAGCAGAAAAAGCAGATGGAATAAGCTGTCATACTTGTACCTGCATTCTATGAAAGTGAAGCACTGCCTTGAGTAACTTTCCCCTAATCACTGTTCACCCCTTCATCAAAATGCCGGAAAAGGTTGCTGAAAAGATGGGTGTTGGACTGTAGGATGGTGGTGGTTATCTAATTTTTATAAGCAGGAAATAGAGGTTGCGTGTTTAAGGTACTCAAAGCAGTTAATAAATTAAAGCTTGTGCTGCATATATTAATTTATTATTTTACTTGTTGACTCTAAGCGCCTGCCTTGAAGAACTATTAGCGCTTCATTTTTATCTAAGCTAGAAACATGGCATATAGAAAGATACTTGAGGATTAGAGTTGAGATGCATTAATATAAGAAAAGCATGCCAGTATAACATGTACAATGTAGCAAGTGTTCAGAGAGACCAAAACTAAGCATCTGCAAATAATTTTCAGTACTGCATTCAACACCAAGGGGAGCCTAGAGCCTCATGTGGCTTGCCAGCCAACAGCTATTCAATGACCACAATCAAAATAATAAAGTCCTAGTAGATGACTGACCTGTGTGATTCAGAAGACACTACAATCACTCTGGATGGGACAGAATGGCGTAATATGTCTTGCAGGAGAGAAACCAGATAGAAGTGGCCAAGATGATTGACCTGGAAAGTTGATTCGAGATTATCTTCTGTCAACTGCCAGGGAAGTCCAAAAATGGCAGCATTGCAGATCAACGCATGGAGAGGCCTGTGACAAGACAATGGTGACATTTTAAATAAGGCTTTAAACGTTTCTTTAGTTTGCAACATTGCATAAGAAGTAAGGCGAAAACAAGAAAATGATGTTACACAATTATACTCCACCTACTTGGTACTTACGTACAGTATCCCTGTACAACCTCCACAACTACTATACATTTTAAACATAGTAGAACACAAAATACCTAATGTTTCCACGTGTAGACACATAATTCACAAAACAATTAAAACAATTAAGACCCATGCCTACTCACTGGACATATGTTTGTGGCTGGTTAGTAATGATTTAGGGATAGTGTGCCTTTAATACTTACATTTACAATATTTAATATATATTACATGTTTCTATGTACAGAGAAATACAGGGCCCTGCAGCAATTCATTCAAGTGTTTTTAATTCATTTCTATTGGAAATAAAGATTTTTTTTTCTATATGTTAATCAGAATCTTGTGAACGAGGTGTCTTCACCTGGAAAACCTAAGAAGTATTGTGTAATTCAAATAATACACCCAACATTGGGGAAATATTGGTGTAATATCTAAACATATACAGTGGATGCTTATTTTTTATAAATATTAATGTACAGATATAAGTATTGATTAATCTGAATCACTACTGGTTTCCCTTTTAGTGCGTATCCTTATCATGTGGGAGCAGCTGTGATGCTGCAATCAACCCTGCATGTTGCAATGTTAGGTGTGCTGCAGTGCCATTATTTCTTGACCCCCCCAATTTCTGCCCACTGACCACATAGGACAGTGGTTCTCAACCTGGGGGTCGGGACCCCTTGTGGGGTCGAATGACGATTTGCCAGGGGTCGCCTAGGGGCTTCTGGCCACCCAGTAGAGAAGCGCTTTCTCTGCTCTTTTTCTTTTTCTGACATCGGTCCCACCGTCAGTCAGGAAAAAAAAAACTTTCTCATTGAGCAGACTAAACCTTTCCAGGAGAAAGTTTTTTGTTTTTTTTCCGACAGGGTTAAAAGTAAACCTTACATAGGAGGTAAAAGGGAAATCTACCCAAACACAGACAGCAAGAAAAAAAAAAGGTTTTTACAGTTCCAAACCTCCTCTAAACTTTAATAATAATGTTTGATTTGAGATCCACTTTAAATTGTCCTCCACCATACTGATGTGAATGAAAAATTATGTAAAAACGCTCACAATTAATTGTGCCTAAATGCTTGAGATAAATAAATACCTATTGATTAAGCCAATTCTTTTCCTGAACTTTTTGAAAAGAGGTCTCATGTCCTGCAGGATAAAGCTCTACTACTTCTGAAACTGAGTTTCCTTCTAGCCATTCCTTTTGCAAATTTTGCATTGGAAACATTTTACTGTCCATAATGTGAATCTTGTATCATGAGTGGGCCCTGCACTAAATGTTTATTTGAAAAACAAAGATTTTATATAAATAATTTTTTTTAAAAAACATTGCTATGAAACTTTAATAAAATAAAATGACCCCAACTCCCTTATAGTTTTTCTTTAACATTTTCTTTACTATGAGACAGGATAACCAGTCAGGTTATGGAAGCAGCTCCCAAGAAGTTCTTAAATATTGTGAATATTGTCTTCTAACAACTAAAGGAATTTACAAGCTGTGGTTTGCATCACAAAGACCAGGGGATTTATTCCTGATTTATGGAGAGTGGGAAAAGTCACGCTAGTCATCCTTATTTGCCTTGAGTTATGCAACTCTGCACCTGGAACCACTGGTATATACTACAGACACAGCTTCAAACTATAGGGCAATTTATTCCAACTTGCAAAAACCTTTTCAGTCTTCTTAGCCTTCACATAACAAAAAATGAAAATCATGGAATCTGCGGAATAAGAATTAGATAACCTGAAAACCAGTCACATTTTGGTGAGTGGCACAAAGTAAAGCAAAAATAGTCCTGCACCTTTTCTCAACTGTAGGTCCTCATAAGGCTGGCCATAGAACTATCAATTTTTTTTGTTCAACCTGTGGGCTGAACAAAAAAAATTGCCCTGATTCCTCCATGAACACAAACAGCGTGCAGGAATTCTGCTGTTTACATTGTATTCTGACAGGTGCTGCCGTCACCTGTCAGCATCCTCAATCAGAGCGAGCAGCCCATTGGCTGCCAGCTCTGATTGAGTGGCATTTTTCCAGCTGGCCCCTTCGATCAGCTGATTGTGGAATGCCGGCTGAAAGAGAGCTGACAGCCCCACACACTGTGTGAGTTTTGACTGGTACATTAAAAACGGACCGAAATTCCACCAGTGAATGGGCACCGTAAGGTTGAAATAGGTTATCAGTGAGCAGTGGCAAATTGATCTCCCACCTACACTGACCACCAATGCTAAGAGGCAATTTTCCAGTGACCACCATTGGAAGGGGTTACTTACTAACTAGTGTACACCACAAATTTCTATTCTTACTAATTAATTTTTTTTTTATTAAATACTCTAGGAATGCAACATTCTTTGGTATTTTATTTAATAAAACGTTCTACAACTAGTGCACTGTGAGCTGCTGATATACTAATTTTTAGCAAGGGTCCCCCAGACCATAAAATTATTTATAGGGTTCCTTCTGGGTAAAAAAAACAGTTGAGAAAAGCTTGTCCTGCACTTTAACAGCATTAAACAGCCTTCTTAAAGTGTATGAACAGCCAAAACAGTTTTGGATAGAGATAGGATGAATAAAACTCATGTCAGGTTTTTATCACGGTCATTGTCTACTCTTAGGTAAATCCATTGTCTCTATTTGTCCTGGAGACAGAAAGTACTCAGCAATTCTAATAGCTACTAGAGCTTTACAACACACAGAGGGACCATGGGGAACAAAAGTAACCACCCTCCAGGGGGAAGGACTTAACTATTAACAGAAATGAATCTTATTTGTGCATAACTCCTTTGTAGATCCTCAAATCATCTCTGAATTATTTGAGGATCTCTAAAGGAGTTATGCACAAATAAGATACATTTCTGTTAATAGTTAAGTTATGTGAATGCATTTTTAAAATTTAACTCCTGAGCTTAGTGCCATTTTAACATACAGGGCCAGTTCAATAAACTATTAGTGCCACTTTAACATACAGGGCCAGTTCAATAAGCTATTGAAGGAGGGACACATGTTTAGCACATTAAATGCTGATTTTAGGGGTGTCAAAAGTTAAAAAAATCCTAAGTGTGATATATCGCAAAGTAGGCAAACGATTTTTAAGGAACTGGTTTTTTTTTAGATGTCAATCTAAAAAAAAAACAAAAAAAACCCTTTTTTAAAAATTCTTATATCACAATGTGTAAAACAGACATACATAAAAATAGCATAGGCAACATCTATTTATTCGCTTAATTAACACAAGTACCTACATGAGCCACTATCTACTCATAATCATTTCACACCTGAGATACATATACTACAATTCTTAATATATAAACATTTCCATAAATGGTTAAAAATGTTCAATTATGCGAATTAAAGTGGCTTTGTTCAACGTGTTTTGCTATCAGCTTCCTTAGGAGCATCTTTAAGAAGAAATGATAAGTACAATTGAATCATATATACATTCATAATTTACATATTTTAATTGTAATATGAAAATACATATTCAATTTCATAACAGCACTTACAGAATGGATTGTGACCTGACTGTTGCACAAAAAGTTGCACGATCTGATTTGAGTGTCAGTATTTAAAACAGAGGAGGTGTGCGGTTTTGCGCCAAAAGGATGATGGCGGAAGACAGTCAGAATCATGGTTTCTATGCCTAATAAAATATAAGCACTACGACATAATAGTTTATGTGAATTGCATTACGCCACAATCAGATGTGCCGTGCGACAATTTGCATTCCTCTACAACGCCAATCATAGTTTATTGGGCGCATAGGGCCCATATCAGACGCACATTGTTCATTTATTTTAATTTGCTTTTCTTCGAAGAAATCCAACATATCACAGGTGCAGCTGAACTGTAAATGCACAGACATTCCATGAGAAATCTGCAGCGTATCTCCGGCACAGGAACTTACATGGACACTCTGGTTCAGAGTAATGCAGCGGGTGATTTAACACGATTGTCATGACAAAGTGAGTGGAGAAATGTGAAGCAGCTCCTGGTCACTTGTCAAATGACCCCGGCTCCTCTCTCTCGATAAAAGTCTACAGAAATTAAATAGGAGCACCTGAAATGTATCCCCACGCTCCCTTGAGCAGCTGCCGCCTCCACTCTCCCCCCCTATCTCCTGACTTGACTTTCCCAGCTTGGTTTATCAGAAAGAGTATGGAGAGAAAAAAAAAACAGAAGGAATGAAAAGGTTCACTACCTGCACGGTGAAGACAGGTCCCTTGCTAAAACAAACAAGTCAGGACATAATTCTTCAAACACTATCTGTTCGTGTTATCCTAAAGTGACCCTTTCACAACCCTATCAGAAATCTCACCTGAATTATTTCAAGAGCTGGAACTTCAACCTGACCCTCAGTGCAAGAGGGACAAGGACTGCATTTTAAATTCAGAGTGTACAACAAGCTGAGACTTCAGCTTGAATTTCATTTCTTTTTTTTTCTGTGGATGGTTTTAAAGGGAATCTGTAGTCTCAATTGTATATCCACCTCTATTAAGTGTCTGTGGGGTTTCTGAGAATGATGTATTTCTACACTGGTGATACCTTCTGAATAGCTGTACCTGTTATTTACTGTTATTTAAATTAAAGCTTAATGGCAGGCAAGTAGTGAAGCACACATATGGAATACAAATGTGGGAACCATTTGAACTGCCAAAGCGTTTGTAAATCAGTGCAGCCAATGTTGTGATTCAAGTACTTGCCAGACAGCACAGCCAGATCCTTGACCTCAACTGAAACAGCAGGACAGCTTGGTTAACCACATGACTCAGACATACTCTAACCTGTTTGTTGGACAAGGAAGGACAAGCAACATCGCTAAAGCTCATGTCCTGACAGGACAAAAATGTTAAAAATTGATTGCCAAGCAACAGTTAAAAAAATAAAAAGGC